TGTAGCAGATGATGCATTCTTAGAAGAAGGGGAGAAAAGGGGAGAATTCGGGTATGAATTCTTAGAAGAAGGGAGAATGTAATACCCCGGATCAAGACCTAAAAATGCGGTGAAGCTACCGTAATGCAGTGAAAAGTCAAAGTTGCGGTCAAGGAAAAATTTAGCTAAGGCAAGCTAAATCAAGTCAAAAGAAGACGATGACTCGAGACAGAACCGAAAACGCTCGAGTAAAACTCTTGAAGATCGGAGACCGAGACTTCTTCAACCAAATCATGCGGCAAAGACGAAGGAGGTTTAGGCAAGGCTTAGAAGACAGAAGTATGAGTTTTCATCAAGACAAAACTCGAGGACATCGAAGAGAAGTGAAGGCGACACGGAGGACAAGACCAGATCATACCGCAACCCGGTAATCCGAACGGTACGAGCAAACCGTAAGAAATTGAAGGATCTCGTCAACTGGAGATAGGATTGGAAGAGGCTTAGGAAGGTCGTGGTTGAATTCCACACATCTTGGAAAAGGCAAGCTGGAACAGTTTGCGGACCACCTACCGGCAGACACATGGCGGCCAACCACCGCGCTTGAGGTGCACGCGCCACCGGCCGACAATTTTCTAAAATTAGAGAAACTTTGACAATGTCTTAGGAGTGCTCAGAATTAATTTCGTGATTTTTGAAATTTTTCTGAGGCCGAGACGAATTTATCGGCAAAGAGAGCAAAAACGGCTATTCGGGACGTGCATCGCGTAACGGATCAAAACGAAGAAGGAGGTTTTATAATCTGATCAAGGCGTGGCTAGAAGACATAATGGAGACAAGAAGAATCTTGGAGTGGCACGTGATTGGGTGGGGTAGATTCATTGAATCCATCATGATGTGACAAAAGCGTAATCATGATGTCCCATATAATCATGAAATCTGAGTGGCTAGAGAAGTGTAGTGGGGAACAAAGGAGTTGTTATGCATCACCTCATCATTGATAGACGGCTGCCCAATGGAGCGGAGGAGAACGGCGAACATGCATTGGCCGCGGCGACACATGGCGAGAACTGTGACAAATGGCGACTTCCGGTGGACAAATGTCAAGTGTGGTAGCTTGATTTTTAAGCTAACATCACGCCACTTCCCCTATAAATAGGACCCTTAGATATTTAGGCATAATTTTCTTACCTTAGTAAAACCGTATCAAATTTCTAAGTAGTTAGAGTGTTAGGAGTTAGTCTTTCCGGTTGATTCCGTTACTTCGTAACGTGAATCTAAGGTTGGCTACTATTGTGTGAGAGAGAGTTAGGTTAGTTGAGTGTGGAGTAGCTACGGTGACGCGGAGTCCAGGAGTTAGGAGATCGCCGTAACTGGATACATAATAGGTGAGTTCATGGCCGAGGGTGGTGATGAGTAGATCACCCTCAAACCGTTTTCTTATGTTTATTTTCTATTCATTTGGGTAGACATAGGATTTGTTGTGTTGTTTGTGCTAATGTGTTTTACAGGGACTTATTAGCGTGTAATCATCTTCGAACGATTTGCGTGTTGTAATAAGTAGAAGGTGGTGAGATCTAGCGTGTAGTGTGGATATCTCACTTAGTGAATATCTTGCATGTCTAGATCGGAACCTTCCGTGGATTTGATTGTGAACATCCCATGAATTTATATAAAATTCATCCGGTTGGCTATATTGTGTTAAGAAATTGTGTTGCGTGTTTTTTGTGGTGGTGAAAACATGTATCACCGTGTTCATATCGAACCTCCGGTGTATACTTGTTTTGTTAGGTAGCATTCGGGAATTACGAAACCGTAATTGTCCAAGGCATCTAGGTCCGTAGTCGGTGTTTCCCCAAAAGTTGTGGTGAGTTCCTCGCGGATACGGGAGAGAGACACCCTAGACCGTAGACGTGGGAAGGCCCGGAGAGAGTACTTGGGTAGCTCCCATGGCCGTGGCGTTACTCGACGGGGCAACTTGATCTGGGATCGATAAAGGAACTGGACTTGGTGGGTCTTCGTGACGGCCAAGGGTCATGGCGTTCCTAGTGTGTGTGGTGATGTGGGGGGGGGGAACATCCAATACGTTTAGGGCCCTAGGAACCGCTCTTTTGTGTGGAGTGTAGATCAAGTCGTAGACTTAGGTTGATTGTTGAGTGTAGATTTAGGTTGTATACTGCATGTAGATTGCTAGGTTGATT